GGAAGGCGTCATTAAGATCGTAAAATAAGGAATAAGAAATGAGGATAAAAACAGCAGATTATCATTTTATTAGATTAATGTAACTGGTACGTCTTCTCATAAAGAATTGTTTCCCACTGCGATGATTCCTCTTCCATGACAGATGAAAGTTCAGCAAGAATCCGCTTGGATCGCAGGTCGATGGGCCGAAGACTTCGCACAATTCAACGTTCTCTGTCAAAATACAATCCTCCCACGATTTCCAGTGTTGTAAGTTCATTAAACCCTTTCAACTCATTTGCACTTCAGAAGAAAAGATCGAGTCACCTTACAATTTCTATTTCCTAACAAGTTTTCTAGAGAATAAAGGGAATGAAACAAGGATAGATAAACAAGTGTCGAAATGAGTGAGGTTAAGGAAGAACCACCTAAAAAAGGAAATATAGCCACAAATGTTTGTAGTTTATACAACAAAATGCAGGAAGTAAAAAAGATGACTCATTAATCTGAGTTGAAGATAAGCAATAGGAACCACAAGACCCATCTTAATAAATATTCTTCCTTTGGCATACTAAGTAAACTGTTTTACTACTATTACTATCGATCTGGGAAATAAATGGCCAAAATGAACTTTCATCATTACAAGTATAGCCTAATATGCATATGCAAACAAAAGGAGAGGCACCTTGAAATAAGTCATTGGTCATTCCATCATTCAAATATTTTGCGTAAAATGCATGCTTCGTATTTAAAATTAGCTTGGCATAGACTATAAATGAATTCAAAAATTGTAAATCCTAATTGCGGAAACAATTACGAATACAATTTTACTAATGTGAACTGGATAAAAAAATAAACCGGCTTAATTGGCTTTAATGATAGTTGTGAATGGCTATGGTTACATAGGAAATTTAAAATTTCTCGTGTGTATATAATGATGAAATAGAGGCATATATTTGGGAAGTAATCACATCGTTGTCTCCTAAGCCTAATTGTCTTACTATTAAGACCGTTAGAAAATTGTACACACTTGATGGAATCGGAGTTGTATTAGAGGTTGATTCATCTTAATAATTAGGATCAAGTGATGACTCTTTCCAGGATGAGACACTATTAGGGCCAATTAGGAAAAGACTTAGTACCATCATAAAGGAAAAGCTGCCAGCTGAGGAAATCAGCTTGATGTGAAAACTTTCATTTCGTAAGGAATTACATTTTAAAGGGATTCGTAGGTCAATCTCATTAGAAGACGTCGGTTGGTTCGCGTTGTACTGCGGCCGTTTGACATTAATACGACGTTCAAGTTGAGCAATCCACGAGACATACTCCATATTTCGGGCGAAGACGAGCTGAGCTTTCGTTCGTCATGTGACGAACATCGCCAGGGCTGGGAATCATTCTTGTAAAAGCCTCAAGTTAGCACTAGATCTAGAAGAAAAAAGTTGGTTAGTCTCCTTGACTTGAGACTTTTACAAGAATGGGTCCCAGCTCCGACGATGTTAGTCACATGACGAACGAAAGCTCAGCCCATCTTCGCCCGAAACGTTGGAGGATGTCCCGGGGACCGCATCAACGTGAACGTCGTATTAATTCCAAACGGTCGCAGTACAAAACGAATCAGCAGACTTCGTCTGGTGAGATAGACCTACAAATCGCTTCAACATATACTTTCATACGAAATGAAGGTCTTCACATAAATCCTATCTCAGGAGATTGTTCGAAACTTGCATTTTATTCGGAAATCAACTTGTTAACCTACCTCATGAAATTCTAGCCCTTGACTTGTTGTATTCGACCCGTTAGGCGGATTCGAAGCCGACTGACCACGAGCTGCTGATCCATTTATCCCGGCTCCTATAACAAAGTTGCCATCAGCACAAACCTCAGCTGCAGCCTCGACAGAATCTCCAGATACGGTCTGGCCAGAATTCTGCATGCCTTTCGGTTTCTGTTCTGAAGGGTGAGGACTAGGGACCGAAGAACCCAAGACGCCAGAATCGGACATCGTGTTCCTCTGGGACGTCGATGATGCAGAGCCTGATTTGGCACCACAGGTAGGACTCGTCGTTGTACCGTTATCAGCACCATCCGCAGAAGAGGGCGAAGTGACCTCCGTAGCAGTAGCCGATGGGAGTGGAGACTCCATTCGGCTGTGTGTGAAAAACTCACGCTCACGGCGAAATTCAGTCGCCTC